ATATATATATATATATATATATATATATATATATATATATATAGTCCTTGTCAGTTATCAAGTTTATTTATATATATATATATATAAACTTGATAACTGACAAGGACTATTAATGCAATTACTTATTATTATTATTATTATTATAATTTCTACTTTTAAAATTTCTGATTTGTTGCTAAAAACAACATAAACTTAACACATTTTATATTTTTAGCTTGTTCCGGGGGTGATGTTTTCACATACAGTATATGCAAAGTGTGAAAGCAACTTTTGGTTACTGTGTTTTAATAAATGTTTTGCCTTTTTAGGTTCATTCTCTGTGTGGTGTTGATAACTTATTTGTTGTTGTACAAGAATTTGAAAACCACCAATTTATAGAAGAAGAGGTAAATTCAACTAACACTCTCAGTGATATAACATTATACAATACTTTGCATTTCATAAAGACATGAATTTGTTTTTCTGGATACTTAGAAACTATTTATGAGACATTTACCATGGATATATCCTCACACTTCATTCAAATAAAAAAAAAAATTGCTTCTATTTGGTATCACTCCTTGCCCACGAGTTTTCTTCAGTCATTGGCTGATTTACAGCCATGCATGCTGAACTCATGGTGATTGGTCTAGTGGATTTTGACTTTTATAAAACATTTGTGAATGTGTATAATACAAAGTGTTGTAATCTCGGGGAAAAGAATTGAAAATTGCCCATTATACAGTTATAGATGTTGGGATATTCTGCTCTCTGTTCAAGAAGCACATTACATCAAACCAACTATGGTGTTTCATCCCTGATTAATACCCACAATCCCCTGTGGTTTACACTGACATATATTGGTTGGTATAAGTTTGGTAAGTGTCATCAATACACTGTCATCTGTAGATATGCTTCATGTATTCTGAAAACATAGATTTTTTCAAAATGTATTTCTTTTCTCTACTTTTCTTCAAATTTTGATGTTTTGCTAGAGTATACAGTGGTGTTGTTCTGTCAACAGTAAACCAGACTTAGTCTATAACCATACTACCGGGGGTATAACATTTTCAGATCACTTTAAGGAAATTCTCTGCACCCGGGTGTCTCTTTGATTGGATGAAACACAAATACACATACACGAATATTACCGGTAGCAGTATTAGACTGATAATGCAATATTTTCTTATATTCAGGAGGCTGATTTACAATCTCTGTCTGATCTAGTGACAACCATTGACTGGTCTACGGGTATAAAATACTGGCAGTCTTACAGCAAATATGCAAAATCTGTACCACTAACACCTGAGGAAATCAGTGAGTCTGATCATGCCACACTTCCAGCCTTTCGTGTATCGTGCCACAGAACAGGCAACAAACATAGTTTCCAGTCCCCGCAAGCAGCGAGTCGCTTTGGTGGGAGTATAAACGACTATTTCCATTGGCGCGTTGATCTGTCAAATTCAGATATTGATGTGTTGTTGAACATTACTGATAATGATATTTTGGTGGGAATCGCTTTGACACGAGAAAGCATGCATCGGAGGAACATCAAACATTTTGGAAGTACCACTCTCAGAGCTACATTGGCGTATATGATGTTGAGGTACGTAAATTGATACATTATTACCGAAATATAGCATATAAGATGTTAAGGTGCATATAAAACTAACCCTAAACAATTTTGGCAAATTATAAGCAAATTAAAGAATTCAGACAGAAATCAAGTAAACCCAATTTCACCTGATAAATGGATTGAATACTAAAGATGATTTAACAGACTTTCAGAAAAACATTGCGACTAAAACAGGAATATTTGAAAATATGCAACAACCAAACAATTGCTTGAATGCTGAAATAACTGAAAAAGAAATTAAAATAGCAATTAACAAACATAAATCAAAAAAATCAGCTGGATATGATGGGTTCTGTGCAGAACTTATAAAAAACAGTAAACCAGGTAACATTAAATAATTATAAAATTAACTCTCTATTTTATGCAGATGACCTAATATTAATTTCAATAACACAATTAGGTTTGCAAAATGCATTAAATAAACTATCTGAATACTGCCACAAATGGAAACTCCAGGTAAATCTTAATAAAACCAAAGTTATGTTATTCAAAAAGGGAGCAATGAGAAAGAGAGAGTTATTTCAATTCCAAGAACAAAATATAAGTTGTGTCAATTCTTATATTTATTTAGGTATAACTTTACAATCAAATGGAAAGTTCCAAGAAACAAGACAACGTTTAGC